TGTTTTAGTTCTTAATAATAAAACTCGGTCACACTAGTGCGTTTTCGTTTGTTGTTATTTTGTGATTGATCACTTCGTTTTGGTTTATTTCGACCCGACGATCCTCGGTCGGTCACCACCATCACCTATTCACCTCACAACACCACGCGGCTCAATAGAAGTCTGCGTCAAGGTAATAAATCAAATAGCATTAAAACCAATAACTATTTGTTTTTATATATGTATTTACCTATTATTTTATAGGTTAAAGCAATAGCTATATCAGGGAGACATTGGAAATGGCCAGAGTTGGATAATTTGTGTTGGTTCAATAGAAATTAAATTATTGAAAAAATTGCAACTCCTAAGTTTGTTGCAGATTTGTCGATCGATGCAATTACATATTCAGTTCCAGAAATTGAATTAATTAAACAAATTAATGTTCCTATTATTTAAGATATAACTGTATATTGTTAGCAAATATCCAGTTATTATATAGGTTGTGTATTATCATTATTAAATTATCATTTTTTATTTTATAAGGATCATGTAGGAAAGTTACCTACCTATTAAAAAAGAAATTTTTTATTTTTTATTTTTAACTATTTTTAGTATTTACCTATGTTAAATTGTTTAAATATTTATAATTTTAATTTTAAATACTACAGCATCCAGCTGTTAATGTCTTTCTATAGTAACTGAATTACCATTTTTTATTTTTTAAGCACTATATACCTAGGCAAGTTACCTGTTAAAGAAAATGTTGTTGATTTTATTTTATTTTATTATTTTTAGTAGTACCTAATGTGCAATTGTTTAAATATTATGTTTTAAATACCTACAACTGTTTTTAATACATATTTTATACCTAAAATCGCCTAAAATTTTAATGACTTCTATAGTTTTTATTACTAAACTATAATATCTCATACCTTATAAACAAATAGTAAAAAGTAAAGTAGAATAAAAAAAGAATATATCATAGTAAATATCAGTGTTCATTTACAGGAATCTTGGTATTCATTTAATGTACGATTTGTTCATTTACTAGGAAAACTTGTTTTTTTTTTTATGATTGACTTTTTAAAAACATAATTTGTTTTAACACAATCAAAATGTGAATTTTATGTTTCATAACATTTTGATGTATAATACAAATATATTTTATGGCCAGAAATTCTAAATTCCATAGTTATTTAGTTTTAAGGTTTAAAAATCCTTAGGTGTTCATTCACTGGCTCTGTTACCCTATTATAATTAAAACAAAAAACTGTTTTTAAAGGTACTATAAAAGACTAAGTATTTTAAGATAGATTTGTTAAGTACTCAATAGTACAAAGTACAGGTAGCGCAGCGACCGGTCTACGCTTTTGTCAATCACCAACACGGGCTACGATAGCGCGAGTGGCGCGACATCTCCAACTCTCTCACCACGCCGCCAAGGCACAAGGCGGGACGGGGAGGCAAGTCACGCAAGACGAGTACAGGCCGCCGGCGGCTCATTCTCTCGCTCATCAACCGTTCTTCGGAACACACGCTTGCGAATCGTATACGCGCCGCACATTAAGTGTCGACCACGTTTTGTTTCGTCGCCGTTTTCCGAACACGGTCATCGCCTCGCCGACATTGAGTTTTACTATTTTATTCAGCATAAAATAACCACGGCAATAATCAAGCCGTCAGGAGTGTATTCACTTTTTATACAGTGTGTAATCGGTTGTTGGAAACACTCTATAACTTTACAAATATTAAATGTATTTTAATTCGGTTTGTTTGTGGTGCTTAATAAAGTTTGTTATAACTTATTAAGGTAATTAAACAATTTTTATGCTATTTCATTTCATGCATGCGCATAACAACTTTTTTTTAAATGGCAACCTCACTATTTTTTCTCTAACTATTTTTACTCTTATTTTTTTATGAATTTTAATGGTAAAACCAACTTCCTATGTTAAAAAATAACCGAGTTATGGATATTTCATTGATTGATATTATTTTTTTTTTACATTTTTGAATTATTCATCAATTTTATGGCTTAAATTTTTAGCACATCATGATATCTTCTAGTCATATTTTTAGTACCTACTTTTGGAAGGATCCTCTTCCCCTATAGCAACTAACTTTTTTAAGTTCCTTTCTTAGGCGATTTAAAAAAAAAAAAAACTGTTTTTAGTTTAAAATTACATTTATTCATTATCTTATAAATTGTTCAAACTGCTCTCCATTATAATTTAAACATGCTTCTGTCCTCAGTAGAAATTCTTTATTTGTTGCAGATGCAATTTGCCTTTCAGTAAGTTGGTTACACGCCACAATTATTTTTTGTTTCAAATCAATAAGATTAGTAGGTGGGTTTGCATAGACGACAGTTTTTAGATGTCTCCACAAATAGTAATCAAGTGGTGTGGTGTAAGATCTGGGGATCGAGGTGGCCATTTTATTATACCATTAGTTCCTATCCAACGATTTTCAAAATGTTCATTTAAATAATTCTTCACGAAGATTGCATTATGTGCTGGGGCATCTTGTTGCAAAATCAAATTGTTTCTTGTTGCAAGAGGAATGTCGTCTAGCATGGTTAATTTAATTTATCTAGCTCATTAATTAGAAATTCTAAATACCGTCTTCCATTTAATGTTCCGTCGTAGAAATAAGGTCCCAACAATTTATCTCCAATCAAACCACACCAAACATTTGTTCCCCGGACACATTGCTTATTTGTTTCAAAAACCCAATGGGGATTTTGAGTGTCCCAATAACGATTATTTTGTTTATTTATTACTCCGTTGTTGGAGAATTTGGATTCATCTGTCCATAAAATGTAATTTAAAATAATAGGATTGTCTTCTAATTGAGTTACCAACCAATAAATAAACATAATCCTACGCTCAGCATCACCTTGGCGTAAGTATTGCACTAAATCAGGTCTGTTGGATGAAATTTATGTTTTTTTTAAATTTTATGAACGGCATTATGAGAAATACCTATTTCAAAGCCAACATGACGCGTACTAACTCTAGGATTTGCTCTTACGTATGCCAACACTTGAAGCTCAATATTTTCCCCTAATGCATTAACTTGTCTAGGTTGTTGGTTGGCAATAACTCTTGTAGTAGAAAAAGAACCAGAATTTCTTAAATTTCTTTCTAACTTATGAAAATAACTATGTGACGGGTGTTCCCTATCTGAATTTAGAAAAACGAAAAATTGTTTTATTATTTTCACCAGCAACACAAAAAATTATTAAAAGTACTAATTAATAATAAATACATACTTGGGTATCGTTCAACATAAGCACGTGCAGGCTGACGTGACTTTTTTGTTAAAGCACCATAATTCAGACGAGATTTGTCATTAGGGTTGGTAAAACACTTATTTTGAAAGTGATTTTCACATAAATATCGGTTTCTTGGTTTTTTAAGAGACAACAAATCCAAAGTAATATTTCCTTAAAAAATTAAAAATTAGATTTACCTATTTAATTAAAATTTTATGAATTAACATATTGTATGTATAATGTATATAATATATAGTATACTATATATGATTAAAATATTATTAAGTATTAATGTATTATCAACCTCTCTAGACAATTCTCTAGACAGTGAATTGTCGGTAGGAAATTTAAACATCATTAATCCTTTGATATGACTTCGATTTTTCATGCAGTTAAAATAAGAACAAGTACCACCCGGCATAATGTATAGGTAATAAAATAATACTTTATATTATGTAAGTTATAAATAATATATTAATAATTTATAAAATTAGTACCATTAACGAATATGTATAATGTAACGAAAAATTATGAGATATACAAATATATATTTGAATACACATAGATTATTTGTTTAATATATTATACATAGATATTTTATCATGTAATTATTAAAATGATTTATTTGACCCTGGCGATAGTGTACAATAGTTATTAGTATGTAGAATTACTGCACTGTTTTCGCCTCCGCGACGAATATTATTCAAAGCACCATCTATTAGCCGCCTCCCCGGAAGCGTAGGCCATATTTCATATACATTGTTTCTCTATTCATCATATATTCAATGCTATAGGCTATATAACATCACACTACGACCAATTAATAGAAGAGCTCAAACAGGGATTTTAAAATTTACGATGGAAATATTTGTTTATAATTGATTGCTATTGATTCTAGGAGAAATAATTAATAGAAATATTATTTATTTATTATTGGTTGCTATTGGTCAATCGGTAGATCAGGTACAAGCATGCATCAAATCGAATTTTTGCACATTGCCTACCAGGGTGGCTAAGTTACACTTACTGCAGTGAGTTACACCAAAAAGGAGTAGAACAATCACAATTTTTTTGTCATTTTTTACGGGCCACGAAGTGCTCAGGATCAGCTATATTATATATAAATGAATGTTTGTGTACAGATCTCTGGGAAGAAGATAGGCTAATTTAAGAAGGGTTGAATTTGATTTTTTTTATATGCATCGGATTTTAGTACGGTTAGGTTAGGATTAAGTATTAATTGATTATATTAATCCACCGTATTATATCCAAATTTACTTAGTATAACGATTGATTATAAATACTATTATAATCAATGGTATAACTTTGATACTTTAGAGTTAAATCATACACTTACGTACAAACAGCACTGGGTTCACGATCTACCATCTACCGCAGGTAGATAGCCTCCCTGATAATATATTACTGCGAATCAAAATTTTTATTCCAGGCGTTAAAGGTACGTTTCCCTAGGAGCGCGTTTTTTGCGCCGCAGAAACCGATCACGTCGACATGATAGCTGTATCACGTCGGTGGGAGCGTAAAACGTATTACGCGGCGTAAAAGTGTTTTCCTATAAAATATAGTGGTGGCGCGTTGAACAATTCAGTTGACTACCGAATGTGTGATTATTGTGTAGTGTATTTGTAATAATTTATTAAGTAAATACAATATTACTAGTACAGTATTATTATTAATTATTATTATATTATAATAATTATTAATTAATAGTTTTGCAATTGCAATGCATCGTCTTGAAAGAAAGAAAAAACTAATTGCACTGCTTATTCTTCGACATTTAAAAATCGATGACGAAGATGAAGAATATATGATCCATGAACATTGGAATTTAAAAAAGAAAGTCAGTGAGATTTATAATAAACGAGAAAACGAGGGTATTTTCAAAATGTTGATAAATAACCACCTTGTCGATGAAGAGCAACGATTTAAAAGTTATTTCCGAGTAACTCGTGAGATGTTTGCCTACATTTTGAACCTCGTAGAAGGGGATTTGACAACTGCCTCATACAACAGAGTAAAAACACCTATAACTGCTGCGGAAAAATTGGCTCTTACTCTTAGGTAAGTGATCTATGAAAAGTGATAATTCATTTTATTTAAATTATCTTTAAAAGTATTTATTAAATCATCTTACTTTCTATATAAATAAATCATTAAGGTATATATATGCATATAAATGTAGCTTATAATTAAATTATTATAAATAATGTTAAAAATGAAAATATTATTAATTTTATAAAATATTGAAAATATTACAAATCTTCATTATCTAAAATGCCCTTCATCGCATCACTAATTATGTGACTTTTTCCAGTTACTGAGTCAGTGCCCGCAGGGGTAAAAGTATATGGAGTACTGCATGTAGATGATGCTGAAGATGAGTGGTAGGAATTTTCACTATCACCGTGAATAATGTTAGTGAATCCGACATTTAGTGACTGCTGGTTCAAAAGTTCCATATCTGTAGTGATTTGAAAAATATTTGCTTTTGTCATAGTGGCGAGGTCCGGGCGAAATTTTTTCACAGTAGCAGCTATAGTTTTGAAAAACATGTCTGTTGCGTCTTCTTCTGATTCTGGTGTTATAAGCTCTTATAAGCACTTTTTAAAATGATCCCTATCATCCTTTTTTTCTTTTAAGTATTTATTAATATAAGCATTTTCTTTCTTTTTATTTGATTTTGGTATTTGAAAATCATCAGAGCGAGTCTTTAGACCACTTGACATCTGCGTATGTTCAGTAGGAGTGTGTACAGAAGTTATAGGAAGAGTTGATTGGTCTGACTTTTGCTCGGTTGAAACACATTCTTCCACTACTTTATCTCCATCATCTTTATCTCCTTCATCGACAACGTCAGTCACTTCATGTTCGGATATGCTTGAAAAACTGTCTCTTTCATCTTCCACTACATCTAAAAATCTCAAGCAATCCCAGTAAACAGCTCTCTTTTTTTTAGCAGCTTTTCCTGTTCCTTTCCCTTCCTTTTTTTCTCTCCTATAATGATCTCGCACATTTTTCCATCGCTTCTTGCACTCTGTTCCTATAACAATCAAACACAAAGATACATATACAGTATACACCTAGTTTTCTGTTCTTTTTTTATATAAATTTTTTTTGATATTGGCCATTATAAGGACCACTCTAATGTACAATGTACATATACTCATTATCAGGGCTCACAACTTCCAGCATTTGCATATTTTTTTGAGAGGTCCTAGAGGTACCTATGTGAGCTATAAATTTGTTTCAGATAAGTAAGAACGAGTACATACGAAATTTTATGTTCCATATTTTTGCATATTTCGGAGTATAAGTGCTATTTTGCTTTTTTTTGCTTATTTTTGGATTTTTGCATGATTTTTATCATTTATTTTTTTAGTTGCCTAAAACATTTTTTCTTAAAAATAACAAGTAATTATAGTCATATTAATTGTTCATATTAGTAATTAATTCGTATTTACTATTATTCATTATTTTGTGGAAAAAACTAGTAATCCGCAAAAACCGAAAATTAATCCGCAAAATAACGTATATAACAAAATTAAAAAAATAGCAAATGTACATTCTGTAAAACGGTGCTGACTAATTCATATACATATACTATTCGTTTCAGATTTTTAGTCACAGGAGAATCCTTTAGATCGCTGGCATTTGGTTACCGCATCTCTCCTGCTATAAGCACATTTGTACCCAAGGTTTTGGCTGCGATACAAAAACAACTTGTACCTATTTTTCTACCTTCACCAGACCATATAAACTGGAACCAAAAGGCTGAAGAATTTAAGAAACGTTGGGATTTCCCTAATTGTGTTGCAGCCATTGACGGAAAACATGTGAGAATAGTGGCACATTCTAAGTTGGGAAGTTTGTATTTCAACTTCAAAGGAGTTTTTTCTATTGTACTTCTTGCAATGATCGATGCTAATTGCAAGTTTGTAGTTATTGATGTTGGTTCGTATGGAAAGCAGGGCGATGCAGGCATTTTTAATAAGTCGAAAATGGGGTTGTTGGTAAAAAATGGAACTATATTTCCGCCCTCGACATTCCTCCCGCATTCTAACATCTTGCTGCCTCACGTAATAGTTGGCGATGAAGCGTTCAGGTTAAGTGAGCATATAATGAAGCCATACTTAAAAGCACAAATGTTAGAAGATCCAAATAAAAGGAAGTTCAATTACCGATTGAGCAAAGTCAGAAGAGTATCTGAAAATGCTTTTGGAATTATGTGTGCGATTTTTAGAATTTTTTTCACTCCCATAAATCTGAAACCTGAAACTGTAGACTCGGTCATTGTAGTGTGCTGTTGCTTGCATAACATGCTCAGAGATGATTATATATATAGAAATCCCTCCCAACTGGTTATATACCAAGACGTAGAAGATTTCTGTTGAAATATACAATTAATATGTAGTACATGTAGTCAGCCTTGACACGTGTGTACAATATAGTAACTAGTTATGTACGAGCATAAGACTCACTCTCTTCACGGATGTAACATGACCTCGGTCGTGCATATATATAGGGCCTTTGATGTATGTAATATTCACTTGCACAGGCGTCGTTGTACAGAGCGTATACGATGTGTGTGTACTGTCACAGTTTAATTGTCCAGTTGTACGTTATTATATATTATACTTATACATAATCATATTGTCGTGTTATTACTTATTATATTAATGCTAACATCATTAGTCCGTCAAGCTTCACTTTCAACAATTTCCCTACACAAAATATTATTCCTTTAGCAGGTACATGTGGTTTTAATAAGTCGGACGGATTTCAAGTGAGAAGTCGATTTACTGATTACTTCAGTACAAAGGATTTTACTACTTAATTACAATAAAATTCATACTTTTAAATATAAATATAAATATAAGTGTAATAGTATTAATATAAGTGGTATAGTACCTTAATTTTTGAATGTTACAAATAGTGTAAAAATTAATATTAATAATGATATTAGGTAATTCTTTTCATATTATATAAATACTTTAATAATAAATACAAAACAAGACGTAATAATATACTTAATGTTTATTTTATCATATAAATATTGTTGTTATTTAATTATCGCATACGACAGTCGTTTCTATCATTGCACACATGTAAAATATGACGACGGGCAGCAAAATATTATTGTACAATTTAAAACAATTTAGGTTATTTAATTATAGAATATAATAATATTGGTAAAAGCACGACGTATGGGCCACAGATATTATCCTATCGCCATAATACAAAATATCTTTATTTATATGGATTATCTTTAACAGGTTTCATTGCGACAACAGACTAAATATATGAATTGATAAAATTAAATTGTTTAAATTGAAAAGCAAATACGAAATGAGGAAAAAATTAAGTTGTTTTTATGAAATAATATGCAATAATAACTCTAAAAAATCTACATATAAACATATCTTTTTACCTGTCCTATTCAGAATTTTTCCAGCTTCCTCCCATATGAGATCTTTTTTTAATGTGTTTTTGAAATCCGGATTCTTCAGATCATATAATATTGTATGATTGCTAACAAATGCAATCAACTGATCGTCGTCGTCACCCGAAAAACGAACCCAATACAACTACTTTTTTGCATTTTGAAAACACTTTAATATAATATAAAATAGCAAAATAGAAAACCACAATTTCTATAAAACGCTGCGCGAAACGCAATAGACTGCCTTTCTCGTTAGTCGGCGAATCGCGCCGAGCTTATTGCGCTGACACGCAACGTGCTGCGCTCTGTGGGAAAACAGTGAGATTAATTTCAAAAGAATAAGTGGATGATGTACTGCGCTAAGCGTAATACGTCATACACGCCGCAAAAAACGCGCTCCTAGGAATACGTACCTTTAGATAAATTTTGAACCAAATACATCACCAAATATTAAATAACGAATTGAACAAAGTTTGAGTCATATTGAGTTGGTACATTTAACGAGGAACGAAGTGCACAGGATCAGCTAGTATAAGCTCAAAATCGTTTTTTGTATACAATGATATTATCATGATATAACTAACAAGGTATGTCAGCACCTTATCCGCCGCGCAGTTTTGCTGGTGGTCATTGGAAAAAACGATGAAATATGTTTTTTTTTCTAAGGAATATACAACCAAATTGCATTAACGACGAAAACAGCTGTGACCACCAGCGCGAACTAGGACCAAAACTCGTATTTTTTTGATAAGCTGCTGACATACCTGGTTAGTTATATCATGGATATTATATCATTGAATTAAAATTTAATACCATCCATAACAGTGACCCACTTGTAACCTGCAGTACAGCAAAGTGACATCCACTTACCTGTTTTTTAATTACAAAAGATATATCAAATTAAATATTATTTATACTCAAAAATCGATAGATATTAAAAATCAAGCTAAAGAATGAAAGAATCATTGTTTAAAGAAAATAAAAAAATGTAGCTAGGTATATCGAATGTTGTAAATAAACATTGAACATATTTTTATATATTTTACAATATCATTCTCAAACATTAACAATATAAATAAGATTTTTTATTTTTTTTTTTATGTTATTTATACACCTAAAAAAAAACTAAAATAGAGTTTTGTTCCTCTTAAATAAATTTGTAGATCGATGAAAGTAATTATTAAATCGTTGAACTGAGTAAAACGCGGCTATGGCGGTGGCGATCTGGTGTCCGCGGTAGCCCGTCTCGGTGTGGTATGGAGTTGAGGGTGGATATATTATATTCACAATTGTGATATTAAAATGCAACACATCTGAAGTGGATACTAGTGTCCACTAGTGACGTTTATTGAAACAATATAACGGAAACAAAACAAAATAATACAACGATATCGAAAGTTATCAGAAACCGCACGGCGTGGTCGGACCAGAGTTTACGGCGCGCGGGTTACTTCACGTGCGTCCTGGTTAACCGTTGGTGGTCGAGAGAGCGCCCGGCCGGCGGCTGGTATTCGTCTTGCGCGACTCGCCTTCCCGTCCCGCCTTGCCTTGTGGCGTGATGGGAGAGTTGGCGATGTCGCGCTCGAAGCCCGTGGTGGTGGTTGTCAAAAGCGCAGACCGGTCGCTGCGGTACCTGTACTTTGTACTGGTTGCCTCTGCGTACCGTGTCAAGTATAAAAACAAATAATTATTTATTATTATTTATTATTAATAAGACGGACGGAAGCCCAATTTAAATATAAAAACAAAGTTAATATTTACATTATTAAGATTAGAAATGATATAGAACTAACAGCAATATATAACTACAACAATAATTACAAATAAGCTAGAGTATGTATGAGAAAGAGGGTGAAGATTTGCATGTTTCATACAACGAGTAAGGGGTTTGTTAATCAGATAGTTTGTGCTTAATGTTGGTAGAGCGAAAGGGGCAACTTTACGAGTATGGCGTGCAGGGACCATGAAATGAATGTGATGAAGGAGAGAGGGTGGTGAATCGGTTTTCCCACAAATTAGGTTTTGGAAAAAGAGCGAGTCGCGAGAAGAGCGGCGATCTGCCAGTGTAAGTAGATTCAACCTATTCGATAACAGGCCATAGTCATGTGGAGGATGGTGGATATTAAGCTTAAACCCAGCAAAGCTGAGAAATTTATGTTGGACACCTTCAATAGATTGGGAGTAGACTGGTGATTGGGGATTCCATTCCATAGAACCATACTCGAGGATGGGCCTAACCAATGTACAATAGAGTGCCTTTAGGGATCTAGATAATTCAAACTCACTAGCAATCCTTTTAATAAAACCTAAAGTCCTAAACGCCATGCATGTTATGTGGTCAAGGTGGGCTCCAGGAGAGAGTGAGAGAACTAGGATGAAACCGAGATCACAAGTAACAGTATCAACGGAATTAAGGACGGATCCCATAATAGAGTAAGAGAATTGACGAGGGAAACGGCATCTAGCGAAGGACATAGACTTACATTTATTGACATTGAGGGATAAACCAATAGTATCACCCCACCCAAGAAAGCAGTCCAAGTCCTCTTGTAAGTGCGTGCAGTCAGTCAACGAATCAACTATGAGAAAAAGTTGTATATCGTCGGCAAAACATAGAAGCTTACAATGACGAGGGATATTAGAGACACTATTTATGAATAGCGAGAACAGGATAGGAAAAAGGGTGCTCCTTGCGTGACACCAGAGGCCACAATAAATATGTAAAATTTTGTTTCGTATAGCTTAACCCATTATGGCCTACTAAATAAATAGGACCGTATCTAGCCAAGGAAAGGGTAGACGAATCCAAGAGCCTCCAGAACAGATACTAACATTTCATGGTTTACGGAGTCAAACGCTTTAGCAAAGTCAATAACGTATAACGTCTACCTGGGACCCGCATTTTAAAGAGTCATAAATGTATTTAGTGAAAGTTGCATTACAAGTTTCAGTAGAGCGCCCTTGGTGGAAACCATGCTGCTCATCTATCAGGACTGGATTTAGAAAAGGCATTATACTGTCTAAGCCTAAAGATTCGAATGTTTTGGACAAGTGAGAAAGAACAGAAATAGGCCGGTAGTTCTTCCCTTCAAAAGTATCACCAGATTTAAGAATAGGGGTTTTATGGCTTATTTTCCAAATTGTTGGAAAACACCTTTATCTAAAGATTGACGAAATAGTAACAAGAGTGGAAAAGAGATTACTTGCCTTAGCTGATAAATTAAATCACCCGGGATACCATCAGGTCCAACTGATGTTATACCTCGCAGGGCGGTTAACTTAAGCCGCAAGTTTTCAACAGAAAAATCAGCAGTGTTGGGCAAATCAAAAAAAGGAATATTAAGTAACTCCAAGTCAGTGTCAAGGCAAGCTGAGGAGTAAACCAAGCTAAAGTGAAGAGCAAATAAATCAACAGTTTCTTTGCTCGTTTGTACTGGAATGGTTGTTTAAGCGGAGTACTTTCGGAATTCCACTGGCAGAACGATTTAGCAATTTATCTACCACATTTAGCAATTCGGTAATTTATTCAAATATTCAAATCAGTTATATCACGCGTGGCCGTCCAGGAAAACAGCTGATTTACTCTTTCACCCGCAATACCCAACCAAAAATTATGAAATTTTGTATACTGCATATATTGTACCGTATTTAAATATCATGGAAATTTCAAGTGATTACCTCGAAAACCCATGCAGTTATAAAGCAAATCAGTAATTTATACACATAATCAAAAAAAGTAATCGAAAAAGAGATCTCGTTAATTTATGTGATGCTAAATTCATACCAGATAACTATCATTATTTTTTAAGAAGTTAAACGTAATTGTAAATACTATATCATCTGTAACTACTGATGATGAAGATTTTTATTGAGTTATTAAAGTTATTTGATTAATTAGTGTTTTAAATTTTATAAGTAAAGGAATAATTATTATGTTAAACATATTTTATTATAAAACATTATATTTTGTATCCTTAATTTGTAAGTAATATCGTAGTGAAATTGTATTATTTTTATCATCTATAATCAATTATAGTACATCATTAATCAAAGTACCTTGTTTTTCATTTTCGAACGTCTTACGTATGATATCATGTAGCTTTACAGATATTTTTGTGTCATATGTTTCCAACCATGTTGGCCATATCCTAATGGTGAATCTTTTTTCAGGAAAATATACAACATTTTACCTTCAACACCGACACCTATTATACTTGGCATCTATATAAACACAAACCAATATAAATCTGTTAATAACTGAACTATTGAAAAAATATAAATTATTGTATATAAATATCATAATAACAATAGATTGTTGCTCCTTTGATTTAAATGGATACGTAATTATGCTTATTTTTTTGTCATATATACGGAGTCCATTCATGCCAGTTAAGTTTTCATTTATTCCCAATTCTTTTTTTATTATAGAAATTTGACAAAAATATTCTGCAAAAATTTAATTAGAAAATGATAATACAGTACAAAATAATAAAACTGTATATAACTTGTTACCAAAAGGTTCTTCAAATAAACCATTAAATCCAAAATTTTGTTCTTATGTTGTCGATTGTACTGGTAGAGCTTTTTGTTGTATTAAGTCTTGCAAAGATTTTAAAAAATGAAAAATGATTAGAAATATTTACTTAAAAAAAACCAAATAATTAATATTAATAATCAATCAATTTTATAGTTAGTTTAATTAAAAATAGTGTTTGGCAAAAAAAATTCTATGAATCATTCATATATTACAGTGCGGCCTTAGAATAGACTATAACGTATAGGTACTCTAAATAATGAGTACAACACAATAAAAGCTTAAGCTATACGATCAGGAAAGGTACAGGAAAAAACCAGAAAAGTCACTTTTTTTCATTTCGAGATAAACATGTTTTTAATTTCAAAACGTTATACATTTTCCTTGTATGCCTAAGCTTCCAGCTCTCGACTAATCTGCTTTTTTCCCTTATTCACTTGAAAGTTGAAAGATAGTATAGTAATAATATAGTACTTCAATACAAATAATTTGATACCGAAATTGAAGTTTTGGAAAAAAGTGACTTTTCTGGTTCTTTCTCTGTACCCTTCAGTTATAGAATACAAGGCTCTTAGTTAAAGTACAGTCATTCATTAATTTTTTTTATAGAGAAATAGTTTTATTTTTACATCAATTGTACAACATAAATTAAATTACCTTGCTTTCAATTTTTATTTTTGAGCGCTTCGCGTACGATATCATGTAGCTTTACACATATTTTTGTGTCATATATTTCCATCCATAGTTGGCCATATCCTAATTGTGAATCATCTTTCAGGAAAATGTAAAAAATTGTACCTTCATCACTGACATCTGTAATACATGAAATTTATATCAACACAAACTAATTTAATTCTGTAATTACCTTATTTATAGCAAAAATATAAATTATTGTATATAAATACCTACCATAATATCAATAGAATTTTGCTCCATTTGAATGGATAGTTAATTATCCTTATTTTTGTGCCACATATACGGAGTCCAGTCATGCCAAGTAAGTTTTATTTAATCCCAATTCTTTTTTTATTATAGAAATTTGACAAATAATCTGCCAAAATTTAATTAGAACATGATAATACACTACAAAATAAAAAAATTGTATATAACTTATTACCAAAAAGTTCTTTGAGTGAAACATATTGACCAGAATCATTAATATTCCGTTGTAAATTTATCATGAAGCCCAACCACTCGTCGAGTTCTGTATTACTATCAAATTTTATATAAAATGGTTTTTCTTTGGTGTACAAACATATTGAAGACTTCTTAGTATACTTTTTTCATACTTTTCAATATTGACGCAAGACTTTAATTCAAGTGAAGGGCTTGGAACAACAACCAGGTAAATCCACTTTTTTCGAAAATACACTTTTTCATGAATTATTGTACAGGAAGAAATGTAATACATTATGGTGCAATAACCAGTTAAATCTGATATATATAAACATAGTTTATAATGGAATTGCATTTATCTTGTTTTTATTTTTGGTGCAACAATCAGATAAATCCGGATTTATCTGGTTATTGGTCCAATGTGGTCACACTGCATTTACCACATGATATCCATATCAAATAGTATTATTATTTACTAAAACATATTATTCTGTTATCTTCTGATATAGTGTTCAAAACTTATTTGTTATTTAATATTGTTATTAAGTATTTAAGTTATATTATTTAAAGTGTTTTTTATTTAAATAAAATGGACGATGAAGAAATTCTTAATGCTTTATACAACTCTTTCGAATTTTCAGAAGATGATGATTATCTCGACCCCGATTATATAGTAAGTGAAAATATTTTACCCGATAATACTTTGGACGGATTTGATCATTTTGATCTTTTAGTTTATGCTGAAGATGGCGGTACTGAGGTTGAAAATGGAGGAGGCAATATTTTATTAACAACAGATAATGAAAATGTAACCGAAAATAATTTATTGTCAGCAAATAACGAATGTGAAAATAATGAAAGTGTTGAGGTAGAAAATAATGAGGTCGAAATTGACGAAAATGTTACTATTAAAGGCAAAAAAGAGTAGCAAATCCAGTACTTTGGAAAAGGAATATTGCAAAAGTGATGCTTGCTGAAGGAAAAGACCATACAAGTTTAAAAAAAAAAGGTGGGCAAGTGGGTGTCGCTCTGCTGTACAGTAGGTTACAAGTGGGTCACTGTATAATGGATGGTATTAAATTTGAATTCAATGATATAATATCATTGTATAAGAAAAACGATTCTGAGCGGTGATGGTATGTCAGTCTATGTATAAGGCATATTATATACATATCTATGGTATTAAACAAAAAATTGACCTATAATAGGTACCTATAATAAATTCCAAATTAATCATATCACAATATCCATTAGATACTTATAACGCGTTATACATCAACAAAAACCGTGATACTATCATAGATATATAATAGTACACTTTAGAAGTTTCAAGTACCCACGAATAATATTATTCAATCACAACAAAATAACTAAAATAGTTATTCTAGGTTTTTTAATATGTAATTTCGTCCAAGTTTGAATTTAAAATGTCTGTAAAAAATAAGTGTGTTCATATATTTTTTAGATTTTTTGGTTATAGTATGAACTATTTATGATAACCTTTGTGTTGAATTTGTAATCCTTAGCTATAAAAACTGAACATTTTATAATTTATTAATTACAATGATTGATAATTTTCGAGATTTTGATAAATTTTGTCAAAATTTGTTCTTTAAATGCTTATAAAAAAAACTGTGCCTATGTATTTTTAATATTTTTCAACTGCTATTGTAACAATATATCAGGAGCCTTGTATTCAATTTTTACACTTTTTGGCCCAACAGATAAAACACTATTGATATTTATAGAAAAAAAAACTAAAAAAAATTGAAAGCTGTAAATGTCCATAAACAGCTCAAAAAGAGTCAAAATATTTTCAAAATTGTATGGTGTATAGAAAATGCTAATTTAAACATTCAGTGAAATTTTCATGTATCTAAAGTTATTCGTTTTTGAATTACAACAAAATAAGGAAATCGCTACATGAGAAATCGAGTGAATATCGAATGTTGTAGAAATTTGAATTTCAAACGCTCATAAAAATTTAATTTGACTGTCCGGTAGAGATTTTTTTATTGATAAAGGTAAATAATCTTATAAGGAATCTTGTGTTTCATTTTCAAATCTTAGATTTAAAAAGAAAAATTTTTACGAATTCTTAACTCAAAATAATTTGCTAATTTTCGTGATTTTTCCATATTTTGTCAATTTTTGAACTTTAAATGCTTATAAAAAAAAATTGTGACTAAGGATTTTTAATATTTTTCATCTGCCTTTGAAACAACATATTAGGAGCCTTTTATTAAATTTTCAAGCTTTCGCAACCAACAAATAAAATTTTATTGATATTTTAGAAAAAAAACTAAAAAAAAAACGGAAAATTAAAATGTCCCTAAACACTTCAAAATAAATCAAATTATTTTGAAAATGTTATCGTGTATAGAAAATGCAAATATAAACAACCAGTGAAAATTTCAAGGGTCTACGGTCATTTGTTTTAAAGTTACACCAAAAACCAAATTCGATTTTTCGAAAAATCGATTTTGCGTAAAAATTCCCGTTTTTCCTTAATTTTTATGTTGTTTTTCCCGGCGCTTGTGAAAACTACTGGAAAATGTTTACTTTTGACCCCCCAAAGTACCAACTAGATTCACTTTCCTATCAGAAAAGGTACTATTGAAGAAAATCGAAGCACTTTTACTGTCCCAAAACGTGATGACAGACACAAAAAAAATATAAAAATATAAAAATATAAAAATATAAAAATATAAAAAAAAACACACATCATTGTAAAACCAATACATTCATCGCTCCGCTCAGAATCTAAAAATAGTACCACCGAGAAAAACTGGTCCTCCGTGTACATGTAAAATGGAGTGTTTCAAAAATGTAACAGATGAACAAAAAGTCTTACTTTTAAAGTTGTTTAATGATATTGGCAACAAGGAAAAACAGGATACGTTTTTAGCTGGATTGATTACTGTTAATAATATTGTTAGACGTCGGCCTATAACCAATGAAAAACCTAATCGGTCTTTCGCATGCGTCTATAAAGTGCGTATTGACGGTAAGTACGAAATAGTAGTTTGTAAAAATGCATTTTGTTCGTTATTTGGTGTGGGTAAAGCAGTTGTAGAAAGACTTTCTTCAAATATAAAACAAAATAATCTGTTAACGCTTAAGGTGACCAAAATAATAATGAACAGCCTTGTCGTTTTATATAATATGTGGACTGTATATTACAATAAACTGTTAATTGCCCGTTTGGCACAATAATGATAATAATAATAATAATAATAGTACAAAATATAATTTCAGTTGCCTCTTTGGCTATAACAACTAATAATAATAATACATGATTTAACAAAGCCTGAATGGCTGTAATATACAATGAAATATATAATGTTTTATGACCCGTGGGTCATACATACACATATTTGGTCGACCAATACTCACAAAACACAAAAACGAACAATGACAACATGATGCCGCCGAGAAGAGACCGCTGAGTCCATGACACCACCGCCTCAACAAACACAACCACACGTTGATAATGTAACCACCCTAAAATGGGGACAAAAATTATTAGACAAAATTGTATCAGTGTGTATACGGTTACCAGACGAATGAATGCCTATATTGCGATACACAGATGAACTGTAACACACGTGGTTTGGGACGACTGCAAAAATCTCATGCTCCAAAAATGATGAGACAACCAAAAAGCTTATGACGATGAGAGCATGACGGGACCAAAAAACAACTTGAAGTTTTGAACATAACCAAAAAATATAACGAACATTGATAATTATTCCACAGCTGGCCGGTGGCACACGGATGCCTGATAAGCATCCGCCGACGAAGGCTGCAGCTGTGTAACGCACTGATTGGTCCACATGAAAATGATAACACAACATAAATTTGTTTGCAGCGCAAACATAATCCTAGTCCTAAAGATCTACGCGGAAAACACGCAAATCGTCCTTCAAAAATTTCTGATCAAATTTTATTTAAAATTAAAACACACATTCAGAGCTTTCCAAGACTTATTTCGCACTATAGTAGGTACGATAATAATGAAAAGCGATTTTTGTCTCCTGAACTAAGTATCAGTAAAATGTACAAATTATATTTGGAAAAACACGAACAAGACATTTTTGAAAAATTAAAAAACGGAGAAAAAGTTAAGCCTATTGTGAAATACGAGTTTTTTTCAGATTATTTTATTAAAAATTTAATTTGTCATTTGGTAACCCAAAATCTGATACCTGGCAGACGTGTGATCGTCTACAGAATTTGATAAACGCCGAAATCGACCAAGAAATAAAATTATCGCTTATTGAAGAAAAAGAAATGCATAAAAAAAAGCTGATATTTTTTATTCTGATCTTAAAAAGTTATCCCTGGAAACAAAAGAAAATCCTAAAATGGAAGTATTATCTTTCGACTATCAGCAGAATATGCCACTACCTCACGTACCATGTGGCGACGTTTTTTACAAGAGACAAATTTGGTCCTATAACTTTTGTATATATTCGGCAAAAAAAAACAAAGCATATTTTTTCATGTATGACGAATCGATCGCCAAAAAGGGCCAAAATGAAGTCATAACTTTTATTCATTACTATTTAGAAAATCTACTTCAACAAGAAGTGAAAAACCTTTATCTTTTTTCTGATAACTGTTCTTCGCAAAATAAAAATAATGCAATAATTCAATACCTCTACTCTGTAATACGGTATAAAGCGTTTGGCTTAGAAACTATAACACAAAGGTATCCTGAGCCGGGACATAGTTTCCTTCAGTGCGATCGTTGTTTTGGGTTAATTGAACATAAAAAACGAAAAATAGAACGAGTATTTTTGCCACAAACATATCAAATAATAGTAAAAGAAACCAACCCAAACAAATTTTACGTCATCAACGTGACTCAAAATATGATTTTAAATTTCTCCGAGTATTTTAAACCATTTTTTACAAAGTACATTACAAACTCACAATGGCACTAAAATATAAAAGTTAAATTAAAATAATACTTTTTTTTTTATTAGCAAAGAATACTCAAAGTATTTTTGAGCATTTATTTGATGAAGATATTGTATACTCTGATTGTGACGATGTGGATAAAGATCCCAATTATATTCCCTTTATTAATGTGGAGACTACAACTATTGATCCGTTATGTACAGCTGATGGTATGCATACATTTTCTAAATTAATAGAGATAACTATTGATGATAGTAATAAGTTTCCTTTTATAGTCATAGTTGAAACACATAACAATACTGGCCATATGAATCAAGAAATTACATTAAGAAAACGTAGGATGACTAAAATTGAAAAGTATACTCGACCAGCAAAAATCAAAGAAACTCAAAACAAAAAACAAATTGACAAACACCCTATTACACTAAAGACTTGTGATGGTAAATGCAAGAAACAATGTCCTCTGTTGAGTAATGAGCATCAAAAGGAAATTTGGTTACATTATTGGAAGCTAAACTATTCAGATCGTAGGTAATATTTATCAAAAATTGTAACTTTGGTCCCTATAAAACGAAGAAGAGTTTCAACTAATAATAGTTTAAAAAAAAATAAAAGTTGTTTTTATTCATTGACCCATCCTGAGTTGAAAGTCGAAATATCTATTTGCAAAAAAACGTTTTTACAAACACTTGGGTACACAAATGATTCAGTAATAACTGAGTTAGTAGCAGCCATGGAAAAGGATTCGTGTGGGCAGTATGTTACAGAAAATAGAGGTAGATCCAGAGTTGACATTATTGATCGAGAGGTAATTGTAAAACATATTGAGTTGAACCATCCTTGTATAAGTCACTATAGACGACATAATGCACCTCATGCTCGTTATCTACCTCGTGAGTTGACTATAAAGGATATGTTTAAAGATTTTTCATCCAAATACCCCAAATACTGTGACATTGAAACATATAGAACTACACTAAAAAGACAGAATGTATCACTTAA